TGTGACATCCAACACAGTAGTCATTCCTGGGGGAGGGAGCCTTTTGGCTTTTGTAGAGGTCATTGTTGGGATGTACAGCATAGATGGGAAGGACAGAGCTCTGGAACACAGCTCTTATATTCTGCCATTTACTTCACATATGACCCTTTAACAGCCATTTAACCTCTCTGTGCCTCAGTTTCTCCATCTCTAAAATGCTGATTTTATCCCTCACATCATTACCATGAGGATTAAATGGGGTGATGGAAGCATTTAACCAAGTGCCATTCACATAGTATTCAACTAAGGTTATGGGAATGTTAACAACTGTTCTTCCTACCTCCAAGGGTTGTTTTAAGGATCCAGTAAATTTATGTCTTTATTTGAAAGTGACAGCAAATTATGAGATATTGAATACTGTCATTATAGCTATCATCATCTTTCTTTCATTGGTTTGAGAACTAAAATTACTAAAGGGCAAGGATTTTATTAATCTGTTTATAGGACTTAAATATGTTATGTTGCCTGATCTTTGAAGATCAGCCACTTTCCAAATTCTCACGGATTTGAGAATGCCTCTAACTCTCTTGATATTCTCAGGTAGATGGTAAACCCAGAGTTGGCTTTTAATCACAGCCCTCCCACTCATTAGCTGTGTGACCTGGAGCAAATGACAGACCCTAGCCAACTTAGGACCCCTTGTGTAAAACCGGAGAAGGAGTAATTAACAGCCACCTCGTGGGGTTGATGAGATGAGGAGTGCAAAGCCTACAGCACCTGGTACCATTGTATTTGACCCTGTCCCTTTCTCTCGCTCCTGCTGTGTTGGACATTGGACTACATACAGGGACGCACTTCAGAGCAGTTTTTAGAGTCTGGGGAAGGTGAGGATGCACCTACTGGAGGAAGCAAAGACCAGAACTGGAAGTAGTGTGGAAATGTTCCCTAAAAGTACACTTAGTAAATAAATAGATGTAAGATGTTCAACATTGTATGGCTTATTAAGGAAATACAAATTAAAATGAGGTATGCTTAAAAAATAAGGAGCTTTTGATGTATGTTTAGTGAAATAGACATCACAGATAATTATTATGGTAGTGAAAAAAATAGCAAACCTTTCAATGTATGTTTTTTTCTTTTTAATTGAGATATAATTCACATACCATAAAATTCACCCTTTTAATGTGTACAGAATTATGCAAGCATCACCACTATCTGATTTCAGAAACCCTGTACCCATTTAGCAGCTGCTTCCTGTTCTCTCAGCCCTGGGAACACCAATCTGTTTTCTGTCTCTATGGATTTGTCTATTCTGGATATTTCATATAAATCACACAATATGTGATCTCTTGTGTCTGGCTTTTTTCACTTAGCATTGATGGACATTTGGGCTGTTTCTAGCTTTTGGCTTTTGTGACTAGTACTGTTTTGAACATACATGTACATGTATTTGTTTGAGTACTTATTTTCCCATTTTGGGGGGTTTATACTTAGGAAATTTCTGGGCCATATGGTAATTCTACATCCTCCTTCATTTTTGAAGCATGTTTTTTTGCCAGAAACACAAGTCTTGGTTGACTTTTTTTTTTTTTTAACTTTCAGCACTTTGAATATATCATCCCATTACCTTCTAGCTGCCATGGTGTCTTTTTTTCTTTTCTTTTTTTTAACTTGTTCATTTATTCATTTATTTAATGAATATTTATCAAGTGTCTGCTATGTAATAGGTTTTTTTGCTTTTGTTTCGTTTTGTTTTTTGTCTTTAGGTATTTGGGATTGGCTGTCATGGTTTCTGAAGAGATCTGCTGTTACTCTTATTGAGGATGCCTTGTGCTGAACGAGCCTCTTCTCTCTTGCTGCTTTCTCCTTGTCTTTGGCCATTGGCAGTTTGATTATGATGTGTGTAGGTCACATCTCTTGAGTTTTTCCTACTTGGAATTTGCTAAGCTTTTTAGATATCCTCAAAAACTTTGGAAGTTTTTGAAGTTTATTGAGATCTTGCTGCCCCATCTCGCCTTTGTTTCTGGACTTTTCAATATACTTGATAATGTTGATATACTTGATAATGTCTCACATCTTTGAGGCTGTGTTCATTTCTCTTCTCTCTTTTTTCTTTGTTTTCCTCAGGTTTCATAATCCCAGTTGATCTATTTTCAAGTTTGTTGATTCTTCTGCCTGCTCAAATCTGCTATTTAAGCTCCTCTAGCCGATTTTTCATTTTAGTTATTGTATTTTTCAAATCCAAAATTTCTATTTGTTTCTTTTTTTTATAATTTCTATCTCTTTTTTGTTATTTCCTCTTTGATGACACATTATCTTCATTCTTTCCTTTAGCTCTTTAGAATGGTTTCTTTTGTTTTTTGAACAGATTTAAAGTAGCTGATTTAAGACTTTTTAGACAAAAGTCTAGACAAAAGTAGGTATTTCTCAGGAACAATTTTTATTAACTCCTTTTTTTCTTGTGTATGGACCATACTTTTGTTCCTTTGTTGTATTGTGATTCTTTGTTGAAAACTGCACCTACAGAATAATATAATGTGGCAGTTCTGGACATCAGATTCTCTTCTTCACCCACACTTTCATAATTGGTTTTTAATTTGGTTAGTGACTTCTGTGAAGTAATTCTGAAAGTCATGTGTGACCACTGAAGTCGCTGCTCAGTTAGCTTAGTGGTCAGCTACTGATTAGAGCTTTCCTTAGATGCCTAGAATCAATAAGTCTTCCAATCTTTGCCAAGGATCTCTATGTGCATATTGGGGCACGCTTTCAGTGCTCAGGCAGGCAATTGACAACTCTGCCTTGGCCTTCACTTCCTGTTTGCATAGAATCTCAAGGTCAGCCAGAGGTAAGAACTTAGGGCCTTCTCATGTTTTTCCTGACCAGTGCTTTTGCCTGCAGATAGCCTTCTAGAATCCCAGGAAACCTCCAGACCTCCCATGGAAAGTTTTCCACAGCTCCCATGGAAGCTCCTAGCTTTTCCTTCTAAGCTGTTTGGTCAACCAATGTACCCAAACTGTTATCCTCCCTCAGGCAGCTGTGATATTAAACAATTGCCTCTGATTGTTTTCAGCAAATGCCCTTGAGGAAAAATAAAGATAGCTTTGCAACTGGAGTCTTCCAGGAAGGAAGGAAAGGAAAAATAATGACAATTCTTTAGGAAAGGGGCTTTGATGGAACTCAGACCCATTCTGCCCCCTCAGTGCCTGTCAGGCTGCTGGCTTCCATTCTAATAGCAGATGCTGGTTATTTAAGGCTACTGCAGAGTTAGGGAGGAGTGGATGGGAATAAGGCAAGTTAAAATGCCACAAAGCTCTTTTATTCTTACCAAGATTCAGCCATTTTTCTTGAATAAACATTCCACAGATTGCTGTAAACCTTTGGTTAATTTCTAGAGTTCTGAAAAAGTTGCTTCTGATGATTTTTTTGCCTGTGTTCTTACTGGTTTTATGGAGAAAAGGCTTTCTGATTGTCCTATTTCCACCATTTTGCTGACTTTTCAATGTATGTTGAGTCTTAGATTTATACCCCATGAATTAATCCCAAAGCAAGGGAAAAAAAAAGCCAGTCATGTCCACCAACATGTTTACCAGTGTTATTTATAATAGTGAAAAATTCAAAATGTTCTAAATGAGTAACATTAGTGGGGGAAAGCATGTAAATTCTGTGTCACACTGTTATGCAGCTGTATAAATGAAAGAGGAGGCTTGGGCAGTAGGATTATAACATTGAAGCTGTGACCCTTGGGTTCTAGAGTCAGATGGGCTGGGTTAGAGTTTGGCTCTGAGATTTATAGTAAATGACTTGTAGCAAATTAATTCGCCTCTCTAGGACTCAATTTCTCATCTATAAAATGGTGACAGTCCCATAGTGGTGCTGAGAGCTTTCACAGAAGGTGTCCAGGTGATATGCTTGGCTCAGCCATTGCTAACACTTTGCTAACACTTAGAGGATGAACATACAACCCAAAATCCTGCCATTGGAGTGCCCTTTCTTTTAACCTTGGTTTTTCCATGCATTGCCAAGGAATCTTTTTTTATTTTGGTTATAGCATACATAAAATTTCACATCCTCCTAGTTTATTTGCCATTATATCACTGTTATTGCTATCATTCAACAGAAAATTATTTATGATACATGATAGGATTATGGGTTGTATATTTTCTCTTTTCCATTTTATTTTTTATCAGTGGAAAAATAAATGTATACTCATCGTAATAATCTCTTCTGGGGCACTTGGGTGGCTCTACTGGCTAAGCAACAGACTCTTGGTTTTGGCTCAGGTCATGATCTCAGGGTCCTGGGATTGAGCCTTGCATCTGGCTCCATGATCAGCAGGGAGTCTGTTTGAAGATTCTCTCTCCCTCTGCCCCTCTTCCTGCTTGTGCTCTCTCAAAAAATAAGTAAATCTTTAAAAAAAAAAAAAAGAAGAAGAAGAAGAATGTCTTCTTAAAGAAGGAGGAGCTCTTCAGGAGGGTCCAGGTCAGAATACCCTCCATTAGACACTGGGGTGGTGGAAGTATGTTTCCAGGTGCATCTTCAAGGACTTTTTTTTTTTTTTTAAGATTTTATTTATTTATTTGACACAGAGAGAGAGCACAAGCAGGGGGAGCAGCAGGCAGAGGGAGAGGGAGAAGCAGGCTCCCCGCTGAGCAGGGGGCCCAATGTGGGGCTCAATTGCAGGACCCTGGGATCATGACCTGAGCTGAAGGCAGACGCTTAAAGACTGAAGGCGCCCCTTCAGGGATTTTTTGATAAACCAGTATTTCCTGAGTCTGTGCAGGAGGCTGGGATGTATTTACTGGTCTTCTTCAAGGGGGTCTTTTATTCAGAGTCCTGGGAGCTAGGGCTCACTGCTGCCTCCTCAGAGTGGGTTGTGAAAGTGGAGGTTAAAACCTAGGAGCATCCTTTTAACTTTTATCATTCAACCTAAGGGTTTCCCTGTGGGGCCTCCGTTTCCTCATCTGCTGCTCATCCATGCTGATGATCTCTGTAACTTGGTAGGGCTTGTTTTTCCATTTCAGGTTCCGAGGTGCACCGATTATACCCGTGGCGGCCAAGCCTGGGGGGCCAGAGGCCCCTGAAACAGAAGCTCCACAGGGCATCTCAGAGCTCATTGAGGTACTGTCTGCTTGAATCCAGGCTGGCCTCTGGCCCCGGCCCCACTCAGGCCCCTTGTATCCTGCTCAGTCTGAGAGGGAGAGAAGGGGGAGGCACCCCAGCAAAAAAGTCTGAGCTGTTCCTTTAACTACCACCCCCCCCAGGCACATGCATACCTTAGTGTACCCTTCCTCACTTCCCTCCAAAGAGTTAAACCAAAACAGAAGCAGAGGCTTCAGTCTCTAGCCCAAGGTCCTACCGAGCTGTCCACACCCTTGTAAGTCATTCTTTCTCCTTTCTCTTGTCAAATATCTCCACTCAGAGCAGCTCCTGCTTCCTGGGGCTCCAAGCCATGTCTTCCATTCCAGGCCTTCAGACTGTGCCAGTCCCCCAGTGTGTCCCACTGGCTGATGGAGACGGGCCCAGCAGCAGGGCAGTGCTGCTCAGGGCCTCGTGGTCTCCACTAAATAATGGCACTTCTGAGGCACGGGCTTTTCCTCCAGGCTCAGTGGTAGTAGAAGCAGGGAGGCAGCCCAGCCACCACGGGGTGCCCAGGGCAGCCAGAGGACAGGGTGGGTGTGGTGGGGTGGTGGTGATGCTGCTGTGAGGATGGCAGTGACCACAGTGTCCCTCAGTCGGAAGGGTGGAGTGGTGACTCTGGGGCTGGACACTGGGCCCACCACCTGCTCTCTGTGTGGCCTTAGGCACGTGACCTGCTCTCTCTTGCCTCTGTTCCCTCAGTTGTAAAGTTGGGAAAAGAACACTAGCTGTGGAGTTGGCGTGCAGGTTAGATGAGGTTAATACGTGTCCTGTGCTCAGAAGGGTGCTATATCAGAGTTTACTATGACAGCGACAGTGCTTATCACATACCAGGAGCTGTAGTGTTCTTTACACACCTCTCACAGTGGTCATGGACTTTCACAGTGGCGCTGGGGGGCTTACATTATTTATCCCCGTCTTAACCAGGGAAGAGTCTGAGGTTCAGAGAAATTAAGTAATTTGCCTAAGGTCTCACAGCAAGTATGTGGTGGAGCTGGCATCCAGTCCCAGATCAGTTGGGGTGTCTTTGGGATCCCCCTGCACCTGGACCCACAGAGCCAAGAACAGATGCGATCATGTGCACTTCCACCGTTTCTATGATTGCATGGTGCTGCTGCAACTGACTTGGCAAAGCAAACCTTTTCTGGCTGAGGCTTTTGTTACTTTTTCATTTGCTTCAGAGAGCAGTGGTCTGGGAGCCTTGGACAGTTGTTTTTATTAAAGCAAAATTCGCAAATGCTGCTATAAAAGATGTTTGTGTATTCCTTTAAGAAGCCTCTGCATAAATCCCAGGCCAAGCCTGTTTTGAATCTTTAGTCTTTTTTCCAGAAGAATTGTTATCACAAGGCTGAGAGTTTGGAACATTCACTACCAAATACTTTTTGACAGCCTCTTTGCTAACGAAATCCGAAAGCAGCCAAATAGAAGGAATAATGCAGTCTTTACTTTCCTTTGTTTATTGGGAATTAGCTCTGACATCCGCAAGCACGTAGACAGCATGAGGAAAACGGGCCGGTTGCGGCTGAAGCGCGCGGAAAGTGTCGGAGGAGCAGAAGCAGCAGCCCTGCAGACTGAGGGGGCAACACTGGCCCTTGGCAGACATTAGGTGGTCCCCCGGCTCTGCCTGGGCTTGGAGCTGCCACCTCACCCCCTCCCGCCCCGCCATACACAGCCGCAGCCCTGCTCACCCGGGGCCTTCGGGCCCCTGTGCTTCTCAGGCCCCGTGCCAGCTGCTGGAGGTACTTGGAAGGACTCAGGCCCTAGGAGAGAGACAAACAAGCAAATGCTCACAACAGCGTGTTAACGGGGGATGGGGGCGGGGAGCGCAGCCGTGCAGAGGGGGCCGAGAAGCCTTCCCAGGGGCAGTGTCTCCCCGGAGAAGGGGAGGCGAAGCTGGCTGGTGAGCTTGCAGGGCCTGCCAGTGGCTGGTGCCTGCTGTGAGAGGGCACGTGGAGGGGGATGAGGCTTCCCCAGTAGCTAGGGGCTAGACGATGACACATCTTAAATCCTGCGGGCTCAGAAGGCTGGGAAGGCCGGTGAGGTCCAGTCGATGTGCCCCAGGCTGTCGCGCAGCAGGCTGGCTCTGCTGCACTGTGGGGGAGGGCCCCGGCGCCGGCCTTTTGGGAGGCCGTTGGTTACCCCAGCGAGAGGAGAGAGGAGGCTTCTCCAGGTGCCCTTTTCCTTCGAACCCAGAGGAGCCAAGGGCATGGCGGCAGTCTGGGCTGCCATCAGGGAGCCGTCCGCTTCCGAGCGGGGCCAGCTTGCCCAGGGACTGGGCGCACCTTCTGCCCTGCTCCGCCCTGCCCGGTTCAGCTCCCCTCCCCGACAGTGTGTGGCACCAGCGTGTGGCGTCTCTTTTCTAGCTCCTGACATCCCAGATTTCCATCCCGACAAGAGACCCCTCGGGACCACTCCTCATGTCTGTGGACCACTGTTTCTCCATCAAAGGCCAAGGCACTGTGATGACAGGGACCATCCTCTCAGGCTCCATCAGCCTCGGCGACAGTGTGGAGATTCCTGCCCTCAAGGTCAGTCTTACCTTGTCCTTCGTTTTTGTTTGTCTGTCTAGTGGCGAGGGAGAGGGATGACTCCTTTGCCTCTCCAGCAGCTGAGCCTGCTGGGCCAGCTCCCTGGGGCTGGCCTCTGGCTCTGCTCTGCTCCCTCTTCTCTCCTACCCTGCCTGGATTCTAGAAGCACCACTCTCCCTAGTTCTCATAACAATACCCATGTATTGGAGGCCCATGATGTGCCGTGATGAGCCTCCTGAGTAGTTCTTTGTAGATGAAGAAATGGAAGCTCTAGAAGGTGTAGTGGGCTCAGGATCACATGGTCAACAAGTGAGGGTGCAGGGTGTACACTCCCTTTCTACAAGCTCATACCTCAGGCTGGCAAGTATACGTGGACTTCTTTCTGGGTACTTTTTGCCTCGCCACAAGAATTTCAAATTAAACACAATTACAATCTTGTGTCGCTCAGAGTCATACAATCTGGAGGATATCCAGATGAGTTTTATACTGGTAGTGACCACTAGTAGATACCATGTTATCCCTTGGAAGACCTGTGGGCAGCTGCGTGTCTCCCTATTGCCCCCACCTCTGGTAATCACTGGCCTGGCTCTGATCTGAAAGCTCTTTTAGTGACCTTGATAGTTCCCATCTTCAGTGGGCTTTTCTTGTGGTTTTAGTTTACTGGGGAAGAAACAGAGGCTCCTTGACCACCCTTCTCTTCAGGGGTAATAAAGGGTGGGCAATAAGGGCTCGTTAGAACCAGGCAGATCCTAAGAAGAAATCTGGGGTCCGGGGTGGCTGTCTAGTTCTCAAAGGAACCTGGAGTGCAGGGACATGGAACCTTGCACTTGGCCCCGTGTACTAAGATGCACTCACAGCCCTAAGTCAGTGAACTCGGTTTGCCTGCTAACTGGGAGTTCTCCCTCGAGAGCTGTGTTGAGACAGATGCTAAGACTGTCTGGCTCACTAAATGTATTAGGGTCCTCCTCAAAAACAGAACTAAAAAGACATGTGTATATATGTATACAGAGAGAAAGGGGTGTATTTTAAGGAATTGGCTCACATGATTATGAGGCCCAGCAGGTCCAAAATCCACAGGATAGGCCAGCAAAATGGAGACCCAGGGAAGAGTTGCAGTTCAAGTCTGAAGGCTGTTGGCTGGCAGAATGTCTTCTTCTTCCAAGGAGGTCAGTCTTCCTCTTCAGGCCTTTAACTGATTGGATGGGGTCCACCCACATTATGGAGAGTATTCTGCTTTACTCAAAGTCTGCTCCTCTTAATGTTAATCTCATCCAGAAAATACCCTCACAGAAATATCCAGAATAATGCTCGACCAAAGCTGTCAGTACAGTGGCTCAGCCTAGTTGACACATAAAATACACTATCACACTGTGGGGGAGAACCATGATAACAGTGGCTGCCCTGAACAAGGAGAGGGCAAGGGTACGTGTACCTTGTGTTGGCCCTTCCTGGTCTAGGATAGCCTGGGAGGATGTAGGAAAGGGGCATTTCAGGGATGAGAGGAATGACCAGGGCTTCCCCAGGTAAAGGAGATCTCAGGTTTCAATCACCCCGCTCCACTCATTTTATGGTGCTGTGATTGTTGCTTCCTTCTGCCGGGCTGGAGTTATTAGGGAAGAGTCTCCTGACCAGGGAGGACCAATCACAAGAAAAGCTTCCCCTATAGGCCTGAGACTGGCCAGGTTGCAGGGCTTCCTGGGGTGGCAGCAAGAGTTGAAGGATGAAGCCCTGCCCTTCTGAGTGTCAGGGCCTCCCCTGACATAGGACCCGAGTCCTAGGATCAGAATCCGCTCCTCTACTGGCTGTTGTAGATTCTCCTCTGAAGACCATTAGTCCTGGATAAACACCACTTAAATCAAATCCATGTTGCGCCAGGGACTAAAAGTGTAAATCTTAAAAAAATAAAGCACAAAATTAGGAAAATAAACCAAACTTATATTTAACAAAGTTAAGATTATTATAGTGCTGTGTGTTAATTCTCAGCTGGAACAGAGAATGAATCAAATGGTAAATTTCTTTGCCTTCTGGGTGCTCCCTGAAGCAGATCCCGGGGGGCCACCCTCATCCAGTATCCCTTCTGGCTTGGGAGAGGACATGTTTGCAGCCTGGGAGAGCAGCCGGGAGCAGGAAGGTGGTGTCAGAAGAGTTTGCTATGGGACATAGACTTTGAAGTGCAGTACCTGAGGGAGGAAAAGGTGTTTGATGATAACATCAGTGGCCACCATGCTTAACCAAAGTATAGGATGGGGGAGGGCCGAGGCAGAAAGAGTCAGCCACATTAAGCAGACAGGGATGTTTGAGTGGGGACATGTTCTGAGGTCTTCGGCCACTCTTTTCTTTTTTTTTTTTTTTAAGATTTTATTTATTTATTTGACAGAGAGAGAGACAGCGAGAGAGGGAACACAAGCAGGGGGAGTGGGAGAGGGAGAAGCAGGCTTCTCACCGAGCAGGGAGCCTGATGCAGGGCTCGATCCCATGACCCCGGAATCATGACCTGAGCTGAAGGCAGACGCTTAACCAACTGAGCCACCCAGGCACCCCTTTGGCTACTCTTTTCATCCTTATAAAGATGGAACTTGCCTATCAGGGTCCCATTACTGATCTGTAGTACTTGGGCACATGGAAGGTGCTTGGCAAATATAAATTTAATTCTCTTCTTGCTTTTGTTCACCCATTTCCCCCACCCTGCCTTTTAACTCTCTAGTGCTGTGTTATTCTCTAATTTACTAGGCAGGGAAAGCATAACTATAAGTAGTGAACTTAAATATGTGACTGAGGAATTTTCCAGTCAAAGTGTAGAAAGTGCAGCCTGCTTTCTCCATTGCTGCTTATAGTTAAATGTGAGATGAAAGGAGTGAATTGAAGGTGGAACTAAGGTAACTGTACTTGATGATTTGGGAGATTCTCAGCCTTTCCAGATTCCAAGTGATGCTAAAAGTAGGAAATTCACTTTGAGAAAGCACGCTCTGGAGAAGGGCAAACGGTGATGCTGGACAGCCCTTGCTGTGGAGGTTAGGGATGTGACTCATGGATCCAGTCAAACATCTCAGCAGAAACCAGGACTAGAGACGGGCTTCTCCAGGAAGGATCTGTGGAGAACCCTCTTGTTTAATATTGGAGATCCCCTTGACATACATGAGAGACCCACAAGGTTTTTGAGAATATTGTATCAGCAAAAACACTGCCAACCTGGGCTGAAAGGGACAAACCCGACGAAATGTTTAAAAAAAAAAAAAGCAGTTGGACTTCTGGTATTCTAATTGTTGGAAATGGACTGATAGAATTACTCAGCTAACTCATGTTATCTTTCAAGCAAGAGGGAGAATAACTCTAGGGGCAGAGCCATGGACACAGACAGAAGCCAGGGAGGCGAGCCCAGAGGCAGGGGCCAGTGAAGCCTGTGGGCCCAGGGGGTGGAGGACCGAGCCACAGAGGGTCATTTTCAGGCCAGGAAAGCTAATGGAAGTTGCTCTGTTGGATTTCAGATTTCAAATTTGCTTGAGTCCAGTGACTTATGTGTTCCCTTCATTTTTTCTCTGTGCCTCTATTTTAGTTTTTTTAAAAGATTTTATTTCTTTATTTGAGAGAGAGAGCACAAGTGGGAGGGAGAGGGAGAAGCAGGCTTCCTGCTGAGCAGGGAGCCCCACGTGGGGCTTGATCCCAGGACCCTGGGATCATCACCTGAGCCGAAGGCAGATACTTAACCGACTGAGCCACCCAGGCGCGCACCCCCTCCCTCCTCCCCGTGTCTATATTTTAAAGCAGAAAACTTGTTTTTGAGTTTCACACATCCACAGGTGGAGAGGCATTTGGCCCCAGGATGGGTCATACCTGTGCCTGATTAGATGGGTTAAATGATATTTTTGATCTGATGATACTTAGATGAGATTTTGCACTTACAGTATGCTATAATGGGGTGAGAAATTGGAGATGTTGGGATGTGGTGAAAGTATTTTGCACATGGGATGGATGTGAATGAAGTTTTGGGGACTTGAGGGTGAACTGTAGTGGGTAGAATTGTGGCCCACAAAAGCCGTGTCCACCTAGAAGCTCAGAAATGACCTTTGGAATAAGAGTCTTTGTGGATGTAATTAAGGTAGGGATCTCAAAATGAAGTCATTCTGATTAGGGTAGGTTCTTTATTCATTGGTGTGTGTCCAGTGACACAGATTCACAGAGGGAGGGCATATGTGGCCCCAGCCCGAGGAATGCCAGTGGCTGCCTGGAGCCACCAGATGCTAGGAGAGAGGTAGGGAAGGAGTTCGTTCTCAGAGACTCCAGAGGGGACCAACCCTGCTGACACATTGATTTTGGACTTCTGGCCAGCGGAACTTCGAGAGAATACATTTCTGTTTAACGCTACCAAGTTTGGTCATTGGTTAGGGCAGCCCTAGGAAATGAATGTGGATTTTGGATGGAAAGGACTGAAGTCAGAACATGCCTCAAGTCCTTTGCAGTTGTGGGCAGGCCTCTTCACTCCCCTGAGCTTTGGCTTTGTCTCGAGGGACGGCCGGTGTGCCGTGAGGGTGACGTAAGCTGCTCGCACATCGGCAGTACAGGTTAATGGTAGAGTAGGACTGCTACGTACTGGTGGCCAGCTCTGTTGCTTCCTTCCTTTCCTGTAAGTACCCCGGTAGGCGAGAAAACCTAGGCCCAGGCCTGCTAAGCAACCAGATAGCAGAGCCAGCATTTGAAGTCATTCCTCTGGCTCCAAAGACCAGGCTGTGTCTACTATATCCCCTGCCCCCAGAGCCCCCAAAGGGATGCCAGGGCCAGTGGCCTTTCCTCTCTGGGGCAGGACCCTCCCACCTCCAGAGCAGCTTTGTAGGTGAGCTGGGCGTTCCACTGAGGCCTCTCCTGGGCCACAGAGCCTATAAAAACACATTTCAGAAGCTCCTGAGGTCCAGAGCTCTTGACCTTCTCTTGCCCTCGCTTTCCACTAACCATAATTGGTGACCGGTGCCTATCGGGCACTGGGGACATTGCAGGGTGGCGGCTTT